ATATATATATATATACACAATTTATTTGCTTTGCATAGAAATGCACCACATACACAAAGTTATAAAATTTGATAAAAAAGTTACATAAACACTGAAACACTAACACACATGATTAAATCTAGTCTAGAATGACAGTCTCTTGAGTCCTAAAGGAATGGACTGCACAGCTGTGGACTGTGGTAGAAATAAATGACACCAATGCAAAAGAGACACATCTAAACCAAACCTGGGAAAAGCTAGACAATGGCAGCATCTCACCTTCACAGCTCTTTGGTGCTGTATGTACATAGATTCTATTTATGTTTAAAAAGTGAAGAGAGAGCGATATCCCAAAGATCCCCGTCCTCATCGTCAAACATTAAGGTACATTTATAATAAATCTAACTAAATCTAAGAATTGCAGTTTGAAGCAAAACTGTGTGTGTGTTTATTTGTACTTGTCTTTCAACATGACTCAAACCCAAAACATTCTGTAAAATCTCCACTTAACAAAAGTTAGAGTTAGGTATCCAGTTCTAAAAACCTGTAAAGTAGAATATTGTGTGCTTGTAAACAATATCATGTTCTGACATATTTGAAAACAATACAATTACAGAAATCTAACATTTTTGTCTGTGTTGCTATATTTACCTGTCTCACCAGCATGGGCCCCTGAAGGTTGGCATCAAACCTTTGGGCAACATTCACACCTAATACCAGGGTGTGTAACCCAGAGGACAAGGCAGTGAGCAACAGCAGAGACAGCAGGTTCAAAGGCAGGGTCAGGAAGATGGAGAAACTGAAGAAGGCCTGCCAGCCCACTGAGTCACTGGCATGAGGGAAACGCTCATTGTTCAGACCCATGTAACACAGGACGTGCATGGTGACCATCAGCCACAGGATGTAGGGGACAGCTCCACGGGACACGGGTGATGTGGGCAGCTTTTGTAGCCTGCACAGTACATAAAGGACGATGTCTGCAGCCAGACCCACAGCTGCCACCACCACCATCGCTAGCTTTTCCTCAGTGTACACAACAGCACACATGATGATGATGAAGCTGTTGAAAAGAGCAGCGAACAACAGCAGCAGAACAAGGTTTTCCTGTCTCTGGCGGCGGAAGTAGCTTTGATAAAGTCTCTCCAAAGAGTCGGGGATAAAGGTGAGGCGCACGGCATGGGGTAGGCATCGGCAGCAGCTGGACTGGAGAATCGCAACCTCCTGTGCCCGGCCTGCTTCATGACCCACGTCACAGGCCACTTGGACCGAATACTCTGCTGAGTGCTCCACCGACTGCTCTGTCTCTGATGTGTGGACCCCGTTTGTGGACATAATGGATCATTAAAGGTAATCCTCTTGATAATACTGTATTAATGATCCTAGAGTGCACAGAATGTTGTTGTCCTGGGAAAGTATTTCACATGTCCCATCAGATACAATAGTTAGTTGCATGATGAAACGTATTTAGTGCAAAATGTCCTATATCTCATATCCCAGAAGAGAAAGTTTGCCACCGTGTCCATACATTCATATGCACTCATAAAGCACAGTTTTTTTCCTGGAGTTATAACCTACATCTGTAGCTGTATTCCATAATTTCCATCAAGAGCAGAACTTTACTGAGTTGTGCTGCCAACAAACAAAAAAACATGAGCAAATAACATAACCTCAGTGTGCATTAAATCCTATAAAGAGTAATCTTAGTTTATATGGCGTATAGGAAAAGGTCTCTTACCTATCAAGCCATCACTACATTTCTATTTATGTCATCATTACATTACTTTTGGACGCTTCTCTGTTGTAGGTTGTCCCATTTGAAAATCTCTCCTTGCAGGTCTGAAGCCATAGAAGTCCAACGTATGCACGATTCTGAAATTGATAGCCATTAATATGCAACAGGTCCACCCCCGTCTTTACACGGGGTGTAACAGATAGAGAACCCATATTCTGACACTCATATTTCCTCAATAGGTTGCTTGACTTCCTAATGTAAAAGATCTAGTCTGAGATGCTCTTTTTCACTTCTGACTTCCCTTTACTCCTCTCTCCTCCCACTCCTCCCCTCATTTGTCTAAACAGCAAATCCTCTGTTACTGTTGCTAAGATGAAACCAAAGTAACTGCCAGTCTGTAACCGCGTCTTGGGAAATAATGTGGCAGTGACGATGTAAAGAATCATCAATGCTACTGTTATTGTCTAGTGTCTCATATTTTCTCTGTTTTATGTGCTGCTTGAAATAATTATTATTGATTACAACACATCAAACATTCCTATGAGTTTTTAACACAATAATGTATGTTTGTGGTAAAATAAATACATCTGAAATAATACATGTGTTTGATAAGGAGTAAAAAAAATGTTGAAAACATTCCTTTAAAAAGGACCAACTTTACAGTATCATTTTCTTCTGCAAAACATGCAGACATTTGTTTGCGTTGGCAGGAAACACAAAAACAAGGAACGAGAAATCAGTACAATCCAACTCAGCGGGTCATTCTTGTCACACTGCTACGTACTGCATGTCCTGTAGAATTTTTCAGCTCTCATTACACTTATTATGCACAACAAAAGAGCAATTGTTGAATACTTTTAAAAAGAAGACAACAAATATTATTAATAAAAGTAAACAGTGAAGTAAGGATACATTATAAAGCTAGAACAACATAATTGTATAGAAAGCAGAGTTATTATCAGAACATGCCTTACCTCATTGACCACACAGCAGAATATTGCAAGGGGCAAATAAGGCTGATCTAAGAAGCACTGCCTGCAAGTTCTACCAAAAGGTCTGTGTCTGGTTGTGGTGTGATATATCAGAGTCTTATGTATTTTCAGGGCAAATATGCTGTTTGTTTCTGTATGTTACTGTAAATGTGTGACAAAAAGAGGTAACCTATAAAGTCAGTCGCTGTGATTTTGTTGAATTACCTATTATACCACTCAGAGTGCTTCCTCATCCAACAGTGCCACCAGGAGAACGCCACAGTCTCCACAGAATTCTGGCGCCTAACGCAAGGGCCCCAAGAGCCACAGGTCCAATAGGTGCTGCTGCTGCTGCTGTGGTGACTGTCTCCATGCCAATTGCTTTAATTAGATCTAGCCTAAAGAAGGTCCCAAGATTTACAACAGTGAGAAATGGATTTTTCGGTGCATCTAGAAGAACTGACCCCAGAGTAATGACGCTGATGGTTAAAGTCCTGATGTTATTGTTGGAGTTTACTTTAATGTTACCTGTTTCATGGCAAAAAACAAACAAACAAAAAACATGAGCAACCAAAACTAACTGAATTATGATTGATTTTCTAGACCTCAAACAATGTGGACCTGTAACATATGCAGCACTGAGTGAAAATCCTGCAGCTCGTGCTGCTCCTAGTCTTTGATCACAGGCAGGACATTTTAAAATTCGTAAGAACGTCTAACCTAAAACATAATCTTGCGTTGTTTGTGAAAAACGTTGGATTATTCTGCATGTGTGTGCAAAACCGTTCTATTATGTGACTAGTGGATACGTATTTTGACTGAGTGAAAAAAATCAGCGGAGGAGATTTAAAAAAGAATCCGTGCTCTTTTTCAGTTTCCTGTTTCCTGTTATCAGCTGATGAAGCCGCCACGTGACAACTACATCCGCTTTGCTGTACTCTCGATGTTTATAAGATCCGTGTTTAACTTAGGAAACACAGCCAGCTCGGGTGGTTTTATTTTCTTTCCTTTATAATCTTTGTTTCTTCTCGCTGGATTTAGGTGAGTTCATATTGTCACGTCCTTTAAAAAATACCAGCCACATTGTAATACCGATTTTTGTAATGCCAATTATGACATTTTCTTAAAATAAAAAAGCTCTATTAAACACAATAGTTTTAAATAATAATATACAGTATTACAATACAGTACAATACTGTTTTGTAATAGTTCGGAATAGAAAACATCGTAAGTGCAATAACATTGTAATAATAATGTCTTGTAAGGTTAAAAAGAAACAAACAAGAAAAGCAATTTTCATATATTTGAAGTCAAATCACATTTTATTTTTGCCTGCATGTCGATTTGTTTTGAAGCAGACAACATGTGTGTCGTTTATGTCCCACCTAGTCAGGTGAAAGTCAGGAGGTTTTACACCTGAATAGTTTAGTCAGTGCCTAAGAGCTAACATTGATTAGTTTGAGTACAGAGTACAACATTGTATCACTGCTGGAACCGGTTTTCTAGGTACAAGCATGTGATGTACTGATGCCACCCAACATTTATTGTAAGACAACTGCACAACCATCTTTTATTTTCTTTAGGAATGTATTTGGCCTTACTTGTATTTGCCTCCGCGGGGATGCTGACATCAGCCCTGGACAATGGACTGATGAAGACCCCTCCAATGGGTTGGTTGGCATGGGAACGCTTTCGCTGTGATATTGACTGTGATCATGACCCAAAGAACTGCATCAGGCAAGGCACTCTATTTTCTGGATTATGGGGAACCATGAGGCTGCAGTACTCTGAATAGAGCAAAATTAATTCATTTGAAAACAAATATTCAACCTCAGAAACTAACTTCCATTTCCAAGATGTGATTTAAGCTGTTAAGATATTTCTTCCATTATAAATAATGGGTTCAGTTCAATGCTTCAGGCAGCTCAAAACCACATTTGTCTTCTGCACTTGCTGCTTAGTCCATATGGGTGAAAAAAGCTCCACACTCTTGTATAGCTACAACAGAAAACATATATTATTAGGCATTAGTATTAATACATTTTGAGCAATCAGTTCCATGATTCCAAGTGCAACATATTTATATCTGTCATTGAAGTAATACCTTTTAATTTAGAATACTTGGAATCAAAGTTTTCCAACAATATTCAGTTTGGATGTTGCACTTTTCTGGTGATCCAAAATATATTCAGTATTAATGAGTTCAGGCCAGTCAAGCCATGCCAGTGTTATACTATCATTTGTGAATTCATTGTGTCTCAGTTTGAACTAAAGTATTTTTAACAAATTCCTAAAGTAAATGACACCTTCACAGTGTAGTGAGACACTTTTGTCATTCTTCTAGTGAGAATCTGTTCATCGACATGGCAGATAGACTCTCAGAAGATGGCTGGAAGGAACTTGGTTATATCTACGTGAACATAGATGATTGTTGGTCTGCCAAGGAGAGAGACGAGCAAGGACGGCTGCAGGCAGACCCCAAAAGGTATCTGTACAAATGTACACAAACATAGCACATCCACCTTTCACCTGTTTGAAACAGTTTTTTGGGCGTTTTAGAGCACAGGACTCCACAGATGTTTACATGGTGTGACCGTTGTCATAAGACTGAGAAAACACAACTGCAGCAACTGTTTAAACCTATGTGCAACATCAGCGATTATAAGATAGTAAATAGAGGAAGTGGAAATATGTAAGAGCAAGTACAATCATACACAGTCACATAATTAACCAGCTCTTTATGGGTAGACAATCACAGCTAACTTGGTTTAGAAATAAATAAGAGTTTCTAAGAACAGACATGTGATACAATGATGAATTCTGTCACTTAACGTTTTTTATTCAGAATCTGTCCATTTGTTGTAGCATTTTGTTATAAAGCAACATTTCATCACACTTACCTCAGATTCCCAGGAGGCATCCCTAAGCTGGTTCAGTACATGCATGACAGGGGACTGAAGCTGGGGATCTACGGGGACATGGGCACGTACACATGTGGGGGCTACCCTGGAACCCCACTGGATAAGATTGAGATAGATGCTCAGACCTTTGCAAAATGGGGGGTGGATATGTTAAAACTGGACGGCTGTTACTCTAATGTTACAGTCCAGGAGCAGGGTAAGAGCAGAACAGACATTAACACTGTTGATATTGTGAGTGTTTTTGTTCTGAATTGTTTGCATGTGCTATTACTTCCTGTGGGAAACACTGCACGTGATATGTATCACTTCTCTTTACAGGTTACCCTCTTATGTCTAAAGCTTTGAACGCCACAGGCCGACATATTGGCTACTCCTGCAGCTGGCCTGCCTACCAGGGTGGTCTGCCTCCAAAAGTATTTCCAAAGTGTTTCATATTTTAAAAACATCACCAATGGAATAGATTTCATTCAAATACTTTACTATTATATTTCAGGTTAACTATACTCAGTTGGGTAAAATATGCAATCTGTGGCGCAACTATGGCGACATCCAGGACTCCTGGGACAGTGTCCTGAAGATTGTTGACTGGTTTTTCGGGAACCAGGATGTGCTCATACCTGCAGCAGGACCAGGAAGATGGAACGATCCAGATATGGTCTGTTAGATAGATGGATGGATGGATGAATGGATAGAGAGATTTGTGGTGTTGTTGAGTGCAAACTAAATTATTATTTATTATTATATTATAAGTATACCACATCAATCTCAATAGGGTATGCATATGTATATACAAGCACAATTAGTATAGTTATAAGGTTGTTATGTGAACAGTATAAATAGTTGAATAGTTAAATAATTAACCATTTCTTGTTTATGTGTATGTTAAGCTGATTGTTGGTGACTTTGGCCTAAGCATCGACCAGTCTCGTGCTCAGATGGCTTTGTGGGCGATCATGGCAGCACCACTTTTCATGTCCAATGATCTGCGCACTATCAGCAGTGGAGCTCGCAGTATTCTGCAGAACAAAATGGCCATCAGCATCAACCAAGACGCTCTCGGCATCCAGGGTAGACGAATTCTAAAGGTGACAAACTTTTGCGCTTAATATTTCAAATTTTTCGTAGATGTATAAGATAACAGTTACAAATAAAGTTTGGTCCAGTTTCCCAATTCACATGGTGTTATCATATATATGTATGTCTTTTAGGAGAAAAGTGGAATTGAGGTGTTTCAGCGCCCTCTGTCAAACAATGCTAGTTCCTTGGTGTTCTTCAGTCGGAGAAATGACATGCCCTACCGCTACCAGTCATCCCTCAGCAAACTCAACTACACAGCTGGGAGCTACAAGGTTTTGGTCCCTACAGCTCTTATAAACATTTATACAGGATCCTTAATCAATCTGTTTCTGGTTTAATACTATTTAAAGGCACAAACATCAGCATTTCACATGGGAATCAGGAACACAATTTCCATCACTTGAAGCATTAATTTCAGGAAATAAAATTACCCCTACCACGATGAAACAATGAAGGCTGCATTGTGGATCTTGTAGACCAACAAACACCAACAATAATACTGCTGTTTTTGTACTGTTTTTTTAAAGCTCTTTTATTTCTGCTTTTCCCTAGGTTTATGATGTCTTCTCTGATACAGCAGTGACACTGAAAGACTCCACGGACTTTGTGTTGTCAGTAAATCCCACAGGGGTTGTGATGTGGTATGTCTCTGCACCAGCAAAACCGAGTCTCCACCAGTTCTACAAAACTGGAAAATTCCAAGCTGAAGATCAAAATGCTATTCCATATGTCATTGTCTGACAACCAGGTACCTTCATTCTGAAGGATTTGGATCAAATTTAAACACAAGAAATATCTAATTCTACACTTAATTAAAACATGTACATTTTAATGTGTTTTAAATCACGACAGAAAAGAAAAATCTTCCAAAATCAAAGTCTAGACACAAAGGTTGCCTCACTTCAGAAAATGTGAATCATTTAAGGTTTCAGGTTATAAAAAAAGTTTTTAAATGGAATCTCAGGGTAATTTTATATAACTATATGAACTGATTTAATTAATGACAGTGTGTAAATAAATGTTTTCATTCCACCTTTTAATGTGTGGTTGTATTTCTTTCATATTAAATCATTTCTATATTATTTATTCTAAAGAGCACCATGAACAGTGAACACTCGTTCCCCCTTTACGACCAACAACACACATTACAGAATAAAAAACAATGAACCAACAAAGACAGTAACGAAACACAAAAGTGACAAAAATAAATGAAATACAATCTGCTGAATTTAAATATTAAAGTAGAATGTTTTGTATGCAAGAGGTTGGCTCTGTTTATTTTGCGTCCTTGAGATTAGTTCCAGAATATGAGTTCAAGGTCAGACAACACATTGCAATATATTTATATATTTAATAACCTTTAAAGAATGTTTCACTCCTTAAAGGTGTATTTCCAAAGCATTTTACACACGTAATCCTTAAAGGTGTATTTCCAAAGCATTTCCCAACTGATAAACGAAGCAAGTTTTACACACGTAAACGGGTCTCCTAATGATCGTTCGACAGATGCACAGCCAAAAAATGCCAGTAGAGGGCAGCGCTGCTCTTTTCCACTGACTACTAATGCATTACAAACCTTGTTTCATACAGTGCCAACGATTGCACCTGCTGGACAGCACAAGGACAACAGTTCCTGTTTTATCTCTATTTTGATTCTCCCACTTTCACACTGCTTCATCTGGATAAATATGCTGTACAGACTCATGTCTCCCACTCTTTCTTTCCCAGCATCCTTTGTTCTCGACTGTTTGCATTCTGCATCGCCACCTTCCCTGCTAACATATGTCTTTCCCTGCTGCCACTTCATCATCAGCTCATGTCATTCTGCCCAGTGTTGTGCCTAGGTGGTTTTCCTCGGTGTCGTTGAGCTTTCAATATCAATACGCTTAATAAGTATAAGTATAAAACACTACTGCATGTGCGGAAACTGGCTTTGAGTGACATAAACAGACACACACACGCCAGTTGTAGGTCAAGTTCGGCCATAGTGAATGTCTGTGTGTGTGTGTACTTGTGTGGGAAAATGGACTGTTGCCCTCCCTAGTTTGCCTTTCAAGGGTCTCAAATATCTTTTGGCAGTGCGAACATCTCTCACTGTCAAGGTCGACCCCATTTGGAAACGTGATGTCGGAGAGAGGAAGGAGTTGTGAATTAATATATATATATATATATACAAGAGAGATTCTTAGCTGAGGAGAAAGGGCCACCAAACGTCTATTAGAAAGTGCAAATGAGCTGAATGGAGAGGACAGGGTGACATGAGAGAGGGTGAGGTAGTGAGGGAGGGAAGAAGGGAGGGAGGGGCTGTGAGATGAGAAGCCAGTGCGTTCCTGCCGATGCTCACATACGCATGCAGCTGCAGAGACACTGTTGCCACAGTTGTCTTTGTGCCACCTCCTCGATACTGTTCCAAAATCAGCACCTCTAAATCAGTTCTATTGACCCCTCAACCCACACACACACACACGTACACACACTTAAGATCAACAGATCCGTTGTTGCCATGCTGGAAGTCACAGCGTGTGCCTCACACCTCTGAAGACCAACTGACATGAATAGGAGAATGAACACTCACAGCTGCACTGGGACAGAGAGAACACACACATTGCCTCCAATAAACGGGAGGTCAGAATACATATTTTTTAAACACACATTAACAGGAGGGTTGGTTAAGCAACACATCTGCCTTTGTATTTAACAGTTTTGTTTGACTACCTCACAAAAAAATGCAATTTTATACTCAAACAAAGCCCACGATTTGACTGTCTTTAGTACAGGCAACACTGACACTGAGCTCTTTGGCTCGTCCATGTGACAGCATCCTGCTTACATTATCACTCCCTCATTGCTCATGCCTACATGGTTGCTGACTCATCAGATAATAAGTTTCAATGGCAATGATATGAACAAATTAAAAGACTCACGTGAAGTGGGGTAAACTCTCTCTGTCCTTTAGCAGTACTAGAAAAAGAAAGTAAGAAGAAGCACAATAACTATAAAAATAAACATATATAACATATTTAATACATGGAAGTTCTACATATAAGTAAATATTGCATTTTCTCAATGTAAAACTGTCATACAAAATTGTCTCAAAATAAACCTTTCTTTGTATAATAATAATAAAAACAGCCTAAACAAGTGCTGCTCAAACATTTTGAGCCTTGAGACCTGCCGTTTACCACAGTCTTTGTGTTGTGACCCAATTTTTTATAAAGCATTTTTTGTTACTTAAAAATAGTGCGATAATACACAAAGCTTTCATACAAAGGCTGGGTGATGTGTCCCAAAAATATTCAAAAAACCTATAATCACATATTGAGTACAAAGCCAATAAATAGTATATATATTAACGAGTAGGACATTTGCTACATATAATCTGTACCAGTTCAGATGAGTCTTGTTTTCGCAACCGCCTAAATTGCTTTATGGCATAGAATTTTACCAAGATACTGGAGACAGCCCTCTGAGAGTTTGGTCCATGTTGACGTTGTATTCACTGATGCTCCATTGTTACCTGCCATCCCAAAGGAGCACTATTGAATTTAGATCTGGTGACTGTGAATGCCATTTAACCACAGTGAACTAATTCTCATGGTCAGAAAAAACAATTACAGATGATAGTACCTTTGTGACATGGCACATTGTTCTGCTGGATGGAGCCACCAGAGGTTGGAGGACGGGAACACTGTGGACATAAAGGGATAGACATGGTCATCAAAACCACTCAAGGAAGCTGTGGTATTTCAGTTGTGATAAATCGATAATATGAAGGTTTTCTTCACATGATTAAATGACCAACATCCTGTCCTGTGACCCGGATTTGGGTCAGAGCCCAAAAACTGAAGAATGCTGGTATAAACATAAAAGCACCGGCTGGAAATTTTAAAGGCACGTATTGAATACTCTAGGTTTATTTTATGCAAACACGGAAAGTCTGCGGGGTATTACTCAATAGGGACTTCTGTGTTGCAAGTTCACATTTGACGTCTTTTCCCTTCTACTTTTACACACTCATGCATTAGCTAAAGACCAATACGTTCTCTCTGGGTGTCCACGGCTTTGGTTTCTTCTTTTGAACTTTGTGACCCACTCAGGAAGAGACAGTGAGCTTTCTGTAGATTCAGTGTTTAATCTACTTAAATATGGAAGTACTGCAGTGCTAAATTGACTTTGACTTTTGACTCTTGTTCTGTCCCATACGCCATGGTGGCAGAGGATGTCCCGCAGGCTGTATATGGAGCAGCTGTTGTTGTTCCAGCTGGAGTGAGACCAAGACGTATGACCAGAGGAAGAGATGAGGGCAAAACAGAGTTGTACAGGATATTCATTATTTTATCGACAGTTAAACGTATATGTCATCAGTGCCAATGATTTCCCTAATGGGTCACATTCATCTCTGCAGGCTTTGATGCCTGTAACAGTAAATTTATGACTCAACTTCTGTGGTCACAGTTTTTTTATGAATGGATGTCTGGGGTTCAGCCACCAGTGGCTGCTGTTGTGCTTGGTAACTCGGTTTCCACGATGCTGCTGTGTACGAGGCAGCCTGCACGTTGTCGAGGCGTTGAGTTCGCATGGCAACGGGCCAGGCTGTCAGCTGCCTGCTTACTGGCAGCCAGAGTGGGTCAAAGTCAGACTGTAGCAAACTCTCTCTCTCTCTCTCTCTCTCTTTCTGTTTCTCTTCCTAAGTTCTGTTAATGATTTTTTTCTTTTGCTTTAATGTGTGAAATCAAACGTCTTTTCTGAAGAAAAGGATAAAAGAAATGAGAAAAGGCTGCACTAAATTTTTAAAGTGACTTTAGAATTCTCTCTTCTCTGTCTGTCCCCATGGGTCTCTCTCGCTCATTCTCTCCCTCGACCACACACACTTGTCATGATCTCATTCTTTCCCTTCATCTCCGTCTCCCCTGACTCTGCACACACACGTACACCATGAAGAAATTCAAACACACTGTACCATTTTTCATTTTTACCCCTTTGCTTTGCTTCCTCGTCCGATCCCACAGGGTTACTGTCCCCACATCGACTTTGCTGTAGATATTCTCTACATCTGTCTGCGTGTGTGTCTTTATGACGGTTGTGAGGTGGTGGTTCAGAACATCTCTGTGAGGACATTTTGACATTTAGACAGAGTTACAGCAGAACAATTATAACATATTGTTAAGGTTACAGGTATGATCATAAATAAGCATGACTTAGAGTTTTGTTACCTTTATTTAGGTCATAACAAATTTATCTTGGTAAATGCAAATATATTTTCCTTGTTTTCCCAAATGGCAAAATTGTCAACAGCACTACACATATAAAAGAAATATTTATTGGTCTTAGGCTGTCAAACTATTAACAATTTTAATCTGATTTACAACAGGGTAGCAGTCAATTTGATTTGAATTTTCTCATAAATCATTAAACGGCCAGTTAGAAGTCTTTCAACTTTAAAAAGTCATAATTGTTCTTATTTATATTCTTATTGATACCTTTTAATATATTACATTTCATTAAAACCTAAAACTCAAAGTCAAAGATTTTTGTGTGTTGCTGATCATATTTTACCAACAAAAAAACAATAATCTAAAAGAATAACTTACATCGTGTGTGCCATCATACATAGAAATGGAAAATAAAATACCTTCACCTACACATTGAACCCGAAAGGTCTGGGAAAACGGCCAGGGAATGCATTATATCTAGGAATGTCCCTCCAACAATAGAAAAGTGTACGAGTGTGTGTGAGCATGCGGTCTACCCATTCCCTCACTGTATTTCTCTGTTCCACCCAATTCCTCGCCTGAGGTTTCCTCATCACAAGCCTTTTCTGGGCAGTAGAACAAAACCCAGTCTTCTCCTCCACTGGTTGGAGCCGAGCGGAGCCAACACATCAGCAGGATCTGCTCTGAATTGGCTTGGTGAAAAATGCTTGGAAAGGACTGGAAAGAGCAGGTGGAGTTCTCTGGCAAGTGTGTCTGCGTGTATTCATGTGTATGTCTGTGCTCATGCATGCGGGGGTGAGAGTCCCACTATTTGAAGCATGTCATTTTCCCAGCAGATATTTGATCCACGTTCACACTGCCACAACTTGTTAGGTGCCACTGTAGCTGCCGCTGATAGTGCATCTAATTCTGGTTAAAGGCCCATGATGAAGCCCAGCATGATGCCATAGAAATGTGACATACCAGATTAGTCTGCAAAATGAGGTTAATGTGCACGGGGCAGGCCACATAAATAGAGACGTGATCGGTCAACAATTCCTCTCATAACCTTCACTCTGATCTATGAATATCTCTGCACAAGTTTTTGTGAGCTATTTTTGTTTCTGTCACGTCGGCTGTTTTGTTCTTCCGTGGCAGGGATCACTGCGCTGTCTGGCATCTGACGTTGTCATCTCATCACCCTCACCTCGTCAGGGTGTCAGTCACTATGTCCACTTGGTCACCTGTCTGTCAATCTGTCACTTGTTCTTACATTAGCGCAGTGATTAACTGGTTTGATGTCTGAGTAAAGGTCTCCTGAGGAAGAGGTCTGTGGCCGTGCTGATTCACCGTTAGCCAATGTTAGCACGATTCAGTCTGTGCAGACAGCCACATGGTTTTCCAGTGAGTAATGTCTTCAGTGATTCCTGGATTTTCCTCTGTTGCTACTTTTTCAGTCTAAAGAAAGGCTTCCACTGTCATTAAAATGGGCAGCTCCTTGCAAAAATGTTGTCAAAGGTAATAATTTTCAGAGAAAAAATTAGAAGAGAGATTTACAAAGGGCAGAGTAGAAAGGCATAATTCCATCTGGAGTAAGTATAATGCTGAGTCTTATTTAGCCTGGCATCTTTTTTTGATTGTTTTTTATATTTTTTTATTTTATCTGGTGCAGACTTTGGTCTTTGCAGATGAATGCAGGTTAAGTTTCTGTATGACTCTATGGTTTATTTTTCTAACAAAACCTAATATGTTTTTTCTTTAACTTAAGATCAGTCACCTTTTTTTAGATGAACTGGTGTTTTAAAACATAAATCGTCAAATATTTTGGCACGAACACAATGGAATACACAGCACTGTAAACGGTTAAGTGCTTGTGTTTATCTAGATTATACTTTGTTTCTAACAATAAAGGTGACTTAATTACCCTGCTGCTTGGCAACACTACTTGTGAAAGTGAATGGAAAATGCCCTACACACACACGCACACGCACACACACACAGAGAGAAAAATCCTGTTCTCTTGGATACATCTTGCATACGTCTGTCCTGTCTTGTTCCTTCTACCTTTCTCATTCTCTCCATTGTTGTTGACCCATTTCTCCTGAGGTGACTGTCTCTGCTTCACGTAAACCCTCCTCACTTCTGCACCCCCTGCACCTATCTCCCCACCTCTGGCCCTTAAATCCATGTTATTTGGTTCTCTGTTGGCTAAAAAAGATCAAACACCATATGTGTGGCTGACCTTCAGCCCTGCACCCCCACTGCTCACTGCGTATATCTCAGCAGGCATGGAGCGTCTAAACATTAACTCTGGGGACTGGGCATGGTAAGTCTAATGGTGCTGATCATGACTTTGCGTGTTTGTGGTCTGTGTACTTAACGTCCGGACATGAGTCCGTAGTCAAAGGCGTAAGTTAAAGTGACCTGAAGTAAGGAATGTCTGTGCAGGCCGGACAGTCACCGGTGTGTTATTTATTAACATTCTAAATGAAAGACAGAGAGAGAAGCTGCTGCTGCTGCTGATTTATTCATCCACTCACTCCGTCTCTAATCCGTGTCATAATCACTTCCACTTACAGTGCTGGTGAGAAACAGAGTCCAGGGTGCAAAGGACAACTGCTGTCATGGCACAGCCTGACCAGAGTCCTTGCAGCTCTCCTGGTACCGATGTGGACCTGCACCCGGAGTCGCACTTGTAGGCCCTATATGCCACTTCTACAGCGCCACCTTCTGCAGCCAGTCTGGTTCACAGTGTTGGAGCTGACATGTGAGCAGCTGCTCTCTCAGTCCATTATGAGCACAGTTGAGGCTTTGTGTGGGGTGAAGAAAAGAGCTGCTTGTCAAAACTGTGACGTAAAAGTCCCCTACTCTGTGTCACGGTGTCAGGAGAGATTTTTGTGTCAAGTGATATTGTATGTGGAGGTTGTCACGTACAGCGTTGAGTGTGACTCATGGCACTAATAGGTCAAAGAGGTTGACAGATTTACTATGGTTGGATGACTTCATTCATGTCTATGCCTGATAAATGGAATCACACTAATAACTTACACGGTCGTCTCTGTCAAGACAACTGTGTTCTGGTAAACAGTGAATATTTTCTTGCCTTACCTTACATTACCTTCCCCTACATTACCTTATCGCTAGATGAAAGCAACGATGCACATATCTAGGGATGTAATAACAAATAAAAGTAAGGGCAGGTGGGAGTAAATTAACACATTCCCTATGTATACAGTATTTAACCCCATTCAATCCATTCATAGTACTAGACTTTCAAGGTCATTTACATTTGCCCCTTGACCACATGGGGGCGGTAAGGTATTACCCGGTCTACCATGGTTGGTCAGATCCCAAAGAACATTCCCTTCAAAAGTCACAGAGCCCCACTAACACTACTGACTTCTGATTGACCTACAGTATGAGTTTCCTCATGTCGGTTCAGCTGACTTTGTCTCCAGTGCTGGCCACTGGACAGTAATGACTTTTATGTCAATGTCAACGGGCAGTTTAGATGTCATTCTGTTTACTCAGTGCTTTGCCATATGTTGCAGAAGCCGGTGATCAAGAGTCTGTGGTTGTGTGCAGAAATCGAATTTCCTGGAGTCACTGAGCACTTGTTATTTGGCTTTTTCCCTTGGTCAGAGGGGGCATTAGGTCAAATACACATTTAGGAGAGGAGTGAGATAGGGTTGATATGAAAGTCAGTGATACTGATAATGAAAGCACAGCACACACATGAGCCAATATGGCGAAGTGTGTATGAGTCTGTGGCACAGCTGGACACACATTTTTACAGTTGCCGTTGAGTCAGGCAGCAGCAGCAGCAGCCGGAGGAAATATTTATTCTAGTAGTAGTAGTACTACCTCCAGTACTTTGAAGTCTGAACATCAGCTAAAGAAAATCTTATGTTCTGCCACTTGTGAACAATATGACATTTTAAGGACAAGGTATTTGTTTTTGGGAATGGAATAAAACAATAAATATACCTCTAATATAACCTTAACTTTCGCCTTTCCACTCTACTACTAAAATCAAATAGAGGATAAAGCAATCATAAGTAATAATAATAATAATAATAATAATAATGAAGACACTTACTGTACATGGTGGTCCAACATGGGCGCTCCACTCCTGAAGCAAAATAAAAAGTATGGTGTAAGTGAATACACAAGCAGTACTTCAAGCATACAGAATACAGTTAAACACCATTGAATTTTCGGATAAAAACTAAACAAAAAACTTAATACTGAAGGAATGACCTAAAAAAGTCAAATAACTTTTATACTATACTATTGTTATCGAGAACTTGAGTATTATGGTTAAGAATGAAGCAAAATTGATATAATTGGTCATTTGAAAACCTATTGCAGCAAAACTAACATTTTAAATCAACATATGCCAGATGAGATATGACAGACTTGTGATTGATGGAACAATTAGCTCCATGTTCTTTGGGGATTAAATAACATACATTCAACAAGACATGAAACAAAGCAAGCGATTGAGCTGCAGTGGGAATGCCTTAAGCCGGTCTGTACAAGAACTGTTCAGTTCAAAACCTTTGGAACCATGCAGTAGAAACAAGGCTCCACGACCATGAAGTGGCGAGACTATCTTTGCAGTAAAGCAAGTGTCAAAAATTTGATATTGCCATTACACACAAGCACTGTGTTCCTGGTCCAACGTTACACTCGGTACACATTCAACTCATTGGCATGGAGCTTGTGTTTGGATAGGACCCTAGTGTACTTGTCAGACATGACGATGACAAAACGTGGCCATGATTTTCGTTGCCAGAATTACATGTTTCACTTTATGGGGACTCTTCTGGTGTCGTCCAGAACGTTAATTACACTGCAGCTGGAAGTGAGATGTACTACGACCTCAGCTGCCGTTTATACTGTACTACTTTGTGGTTCTAGCTAAATTGGTCAAACTGAATCTATGAACTGTCCTGTGTTTACCCTTAAAACATTTTGATCAATGGTAGTTTTTCATGTGGCTGTCAATAATACACATAAAAAAGTGAATTGAATTGAAGCCACCCTGAGAAGCAAACCAACACATGTCAATGTATACTATTTATAATAAAATCTTTACGTACGGAAATGAGCCTCCAAAAGGAACCATGATGGTTAAACTGAGATTTGGAGTCACATTTATAAGCATTGTCCTTCTAAACCTTTTTAAATGACAGGAAGCAATAGTAGAAACCAAAGTTTGTTCTTCTGGATGCAAATATCTCTCAGAGAGTTTTCCATGTTTTATGTGGTTTTCTCTGATTTGACCAAAAGGTTCCATACTGGTAAATGAATGGAAGCAGATGGAAATCCCATCAGTATCCCACTACATTTTTTCTTTAACTTAAAGGTATAGATTTAGATTGTTTATGGCGTTCAACGGGTTCACATTCCTGGCTAAATTAGCAGAGAACTGGTATTTTAATTGTGAAGCGCCTAATCTAAATTTAAACAAAACCATAATGGCCACAACACTGGTGTTAAATATGGAGAAAAAGGCATAACTGTGGCCTTGTAACGGCTGTAGCTTTGTTAATTCTCTATTGTTTTGGAATAATAATAAAAAAAAATAGAGGAAACTTGAAACATCACGACACGACAAACACATGTCCAACATGCTGCTGAGGAGCCTGACAGAAATCAGAAAAGTTGCCAGCCGTGATGATAATAATGATGATTATAATGATGATTGCTAAGATTTTACAGTCTAGGCCAAATGCATTACAGAGAATTTAGTTATTTTAGACGGCAGCTCTCACCACTGCAGAATGTAGATAAACACTGCCATTTAGCTTCTACTTCATAATCATACAGTAAACAAACCTTCCTTGGCAGTACAGCCCAGGCACTTCACAATGCTAAGTCACAATTACAGTGCCCCTAATTACTGGCTTACCTCTGTGAATGTATGTGTTTCAGGTTTTTGGTGAGTGTGAGCTTGCATATCTCTGTTTCAGAGAGAGAGAGGAAAAGAAAGAGAGAGAAGGAGAGGTCAAAGGTTGGGGGGTGAACTTGGTGCCATGAAATACATTTAACCAGATTGGCATGAATATATTCAATTCTTTGCTGCATAAAAATGAAGTGAGTTCCAGGGTGGGACAAAATATTCAACACAAGGTGAGGAAATCAACTCCAGAGAGTTGGTGGGAGTGGGAGGGGTACATACGTCATGTGGCCTACTATACCCAGCTTTCTAAGAAATATCTCTCTTGAACTCCTGCCATTTTTACAGCCACAGCTCACACTTATATTTGGCCCGTGTTACTTGGCACCGTATTGCTTCACAGGGCCTTTTTCATCTCTCTAGCCAGGGGATGGATAGCGTCACAACTTAAGCAGCACTGACCAGTACCAAGCACATGACTGGTTTTAATGGAATGTGACTCTGGCTTTAGCCAAATTCCCTCAGGATGGAGTTCTTCCTGGTATGGTGCCAAGGTTGAGCTCTGGTTTTCTTGCAAGAAATAACCTGCCTGAATAAAAAAAAGGCATGATCTCCTCATTTTAATTTCTTGCTGTATTATATTAATATAAATATCTCTATTAAATCAAAGCGTATAATGGATACTTTGAGAGAAAAGGGCTCCATTAAAGGTAGGAGATAAAAATGAAGTTAAAATTTAAAAAAAAAATGTAAAAAAAACATCTTCAAGCAAATGTTCATCATGTTCATGTGTCAATATTGGTGTTACTTTTAATCAGGCTCATATTGGTCAAGTTTAATCATTCAGTGCAACATCAACCAATTTGACATCAGGAAATGTTTTTGACATACCAACATTTTGTCCCGATGGTGGTGTTAGATAAAAAGCTAATTTTTCACCAATTTAACCAAAATGGACTCAAATGGTCCATTGAGTTTTAAATGCTCTGGCAACTCATCAAAAATGTGCTAAGAAACTTCCAGTTTTTAATGCTAGCTGTAAAATACTTACGTTTTCTTTTCTTTTTTTTGTCTTTAAAAATGTGGACCACACACTATAAAAAGTCGACAGGTTTAAGCCAGAATTTCAATAATTGTATATAAATGACTTTGGTGTGGAAACTTTGAATCAGTACTCAACAGCAGAACATACAATTAGTAGATAAAGAAATTGTAGGAAAAAGAAAACAAAGAGGGAAACAAAGTGTTTGCAGATAGGAGGATATTTTCTAAAAAATAAAAAGAGAAAAAGAGAAAGAGACTAAATAAATATAAATGTAACCTTGTGTTCCCGTCGCTGTCACTAAGTCACCATCACTCTATTATCGCTACTCCCTTTGACATTTGGTGGAAAAGACCCCTGGAAACCAATGTAAATCCATACCCCGTGTACTCCTCGTAAATGTAAAGTGTGTGCAGATATTGACACACTCCCACCCACATATACATCAGCAGTCAGCGGTGAGATATGGCGTAGTTAGAAAGCTAACGTCTGGCTCTCCCCTGTGCAGTTTCCGCTTGAAACTTGAGAATAACATCCACATTATCTACTGTATGTGCAGCGGTGACAGGGGGGTTGTTGAAACACCAGAGCTGCAACACCTGTCCATCACCAGACCGCGGCTGAACCTGTGAGCACCTTAGTGATAAAGCAGGAACCCACGCGCACTAATTCTTCCTGTCTGGACCTTCACAAACTGTTCCCTGGTGCATCTTAGCACTGTGGTCTCTGCACAGTGGGAGTCATAAACTGCAAGGCCGCGACCTATAGTGGAGCACACCTTGGCCTCCAGAAAGCCCCTGATTTGTATGCTGAGCTGTCAATTGGGAACACATGCCATTCCTAGGAGCCCTGCAGCACTGGGGGATCTGGTGACAGCAGCTCTTGGTTGACAGATAGCCAATGCTAAAATGAGATACACTTACAGACAGGCAAGTAAGTGGTGGAGGGGGAAGGCGAGGGGCTTAGTGTGAGAGGAATGGCAGGTATGAGAGGCAGAGGGGAAAAGGAGGCAGAGTGGGCAGAGGTGAGAGGGCGAAGTGTAAGGCAAGATCTGCATTTTTCACGTGTCAATCACTTGATGTTTTCTCCTTTGTAACTCCCTCCTGTTGATGAGTTCAGTCCTGGCTTCATTTTCTCTCGCTTATCTCTCTTCCTTATAGATAGGGGTTATCATTAGATTACTTTCATCTTCATTCGATTAACAATGTGTGCTCAGAACAGGAAGAAGATCACAATTAAAGCTAACCCTAATTGTTGGATGGCTCAGAATAGATCAGCACTTGACCTGCATTGTTAACAGGAGAGTGCAAAAAATGTCAAGTCAAGTTCACGCCGGGCAGAACACTGTTTTTAATGAATACTCCACGGATTATCTCGGTCCATTCCTGTTTCAGGCCTTTTAACTTTTGCCTGCATTTGATAAATATTTGATTTAGTCTTGGGAAGTGTGTCCCTCTGTGTGTGTATATATGTGTGTATGTGTTCTTATCTGTCTGTCCTTGAGCTCAAGTCTGTCAGACAACAAACCTGGCTTAGGCTGCACACTGTCGAGTTTTTTTTTGTTTTTAATGAATTTTTTATAGTATTTTTCAAACGGTTCAGGCTAAAAAGCCCTGCAGATCATATCCTCTACTGTATTTTGGAATGGTATTAGCAGCCTCACCTTACAGTCAACCCTGGGTGAACCCACATGATAACAAACACCATTCTAAACCTTCCATGGTTTGACTTTAACAGAGATGTTATCACCGCCAGTGATTATTTTACATATATTTATATTATATTGCTCTGTGTCTATATATTACACAATACTGTATTTAATTAAATTTGCACTAGGCTGTGTTTATTATATTTATTTTCATTTTAACCTGACAAGTAACAGATGGATGTAATTGAAAGTCCAAACATCTGCCTAGGATTATAGGTGAAAATAATCAACAAAATGTCAAAATTATTTTTCTCAAAAGGTCGGTCATTGGGAGAAACTGGGCTGGTTTTGGATCTGGATAAAACACTATGTTTTAATTAAGTCAAATTCTATCCAGTCCATCATACTTTTTAACTGCTTCCCTTTGTTGCTGCTCAGTCAATGTGTCACCGTCACTATAAGGAAATGGCAAAAGTACAAAGTATCTCAATAAAACTGCTTTCCCTAGTACATCGGCTAAAAATCAAAACAAAACAATCCTGCCGCGTGATTGGCATTTCATGGATGTCGACATGACTATAGCTGTGAGTCTACGGCTACGGTGATGATGTGAGAGTAATGACGGTGGGTAACGGTTCATAGTCTGAATTTCCTGCTCTTTGTCAAGAAACAATAGTTTTTGACACTGCGTGTAGTGAATGCACACATCTTACGCACAGTACAACCTTCTTTATCTGACTACACAGATCCAGTTACACTGACTCCTTCCTCCTGATGCAACAGTTTACTTTGATGTGGCCGATCCCTTGTTTAACATGCCCCAGCTGTTCAGGTCGCGTGCTGCAACAGTTCATTTGGTCTGTGATCCGTCAGTCTGATCCCACTGCAGCAGTGACAGTCGCTTCCTCTTCGGGGGCCTCTGAGTTGAGGCTCCTGAAACGCAGGTGTATTGTCTGCGAGGATAGCACTTAGAACTGTGATGCAGCACTGAGGCCCTGTGACACAGCTGTGAGACTTAGCCCAGCTCTGAGACACAGGCTGAGTTTTGCTGAATGGATTTGGCAGCGGCTATCAAATCAGTACGTTAACACCCTTAAACATGGCACACTAAGCAGATTACACTAAATCCACTTAAGGGTTCAGATTTTTCCCTAATGTATAGGCAATATGCTGCAGAATCACAACATATATAATGCTACTATATAAGGCTGTACGCTACTGTTCTACAGTCTACAAACCTCAGTCTACACAATGAAAGACAAAGTTCAAAGTGTGATGTTTTATACAGATCAAGATTATCCAAATGTGATTAATTATAGTATTTGCGTGATCACAAAACCTCCTGTTCAATTTATTACTTCACAAAATCCCATAATGGACTATAATTTATCATTTAATTTTAATGTAAGTTAATTAACTGGCCCAACAGGAAACAGCTCCTGCACAAACGTAATGAACGTGTTTTTGTTTTGCACCTTTCACGTGTCACTTTAAAGCCAGCAAACACACGACATAACACGTGCTGCAAGCTAACATTAGACAAGGCTAATATCAGTATGACTGAGGTGGACTAGGATATTGTCATGTCTCATAATAATCTGTGCTTGGTTTAGGATACAAGCCAATCACCTCGTCATGTTTTTTTTTGTTTGTTTGTTTTTTTTGCATAAAAGACTTTTTTGTGGGTTTGTGTTTGTTATTTGCTGTCAATTGATTTCAATAGAGTTTCAAGGCTAGGAATTAAGCAAAGGGTCCTTGAAACTTTTGAATTTTCTTCTGAAAATCAATCAATCAGGAAATGAGAAAAAAAAATTCCAACTTGGCTTCTACAGCAAATACTATTCCTATGACTGTAGCCGTTGGTTACCACAATAACAACAACAGTGGAGGGAGCTAAAAAATGACACAAAGTTCACAGTCACTACAACCGTTTTGTCAATTTAGTAGTCAGCTAATAGTTGTCTGACTGCAGAAACAACACAACTTCATAAATACCTTTCATGTGGTGAGCTGGTACATGTCGGTGAAATGTTATCGGGTGAGAGGACCACGAGTGACGAACCGAGGTTTTGTTCTTTATGAGAAAAGTTAGAGTCACCGGGCAGCTGCTTTGTTGTCTTAAATTCCTGCGAGTGAGTGAGTTTAGAGAAAACACGTTCATGAAAGGAAAGAAGAAAAAGACCAAAGAGGAAATACACACACAAGAAGAAGGAAAAGTTGGTCAGAACAGACAAAAAAAAAAAAAAAAAAAATACTGTCAAACACAGCAGAGAAATCTGGATTGTGGCACCTCGTTTAAGAGGTCCCATTAGAAGTAATGGCAAGGAGAATGTAATCTAAGTGTGAGATCAGAGATACACATCACCTCATGAATCATTTCTATGTTTCTATAAAGCACCTTGAAAAGGAGTCGACAGCCGGGTCAAATGTTATGGAGGAGGGAGATGTGAGATTTATTGTGTAGGTGGGAGAGGAGAGCCGAATGTTTACATTGAGCAGTGATCACCACTATAAAACTGGGGTGGTATTTACACTGCACTGTTATGTACATTTTCTTATTTGAAACAGAGTCAAGCAAAACCTTTATTTATAGTTATTTCCATGCACATCTTTAGAGGATTAGTTATTTTAAGAGCCTAAAATACACCAAATATTTACAAGTTAGTTAAAAACAGGAAATCACCAGCAATAAGCAAATATCTAAGCAAGTGACAAGCATTAAATTGTTCACATCAAATCATCTAAATATGACATCAATACCTGTTAGAAACTCGCAGTAATCCATTAGAAGAGATTCTGTAATGGTTTGGGGCTGCATTTCTTGTCAATGGACTCCACGTCCTAGCACTGTAAACATTTAAACAAGCACACTGCAATTCCCAAATAAACATCATAATCTCATAAAGACAACAAATTGTAGGACTTTTTACCTGACAGTCATCAAATGTGTTTGGGATGAAGACAAGGAGCAGGTGAGTTGTCACTGGGGAAATAGGAAAACATTGTTAAACAGCTCCTCTAATTGTTTTAAATTGTCCAAAAGACAGGAATCAACCGAAATAGAACACATCTTACCTTATGTTTTATTCAATGCATTATTCTGACTTACTGCAGAAAACTTCTAGAAGATGTGTCACATTTTTTTGTTTGATTAAAACTTGACAAACTGTCTTTATGTCCATAAATTAAACAGGAGATAAGACAGAGAGGGAGTCAAAGAAGAACGTGCATGCACACACTTGCAGACAGGACTCTCTTTCTGGAATCTGGGATTATAAGAGTCAAGTTTACAAGAGAATCTTCATCACCTGGCTGCAGCCTCGACCCTCTAATCACTGATTTTGTTTAGCATGAAGGAAAAAGTAAATTAATGTCATGTGGTCTTAAGAATAAAGGTTTTTACAGTATGTCACCCTCCTTGCCTCTCTGCTGAGTGAGTTGATCAGGAGTCGGAAAGCTCTGCCAAATTTTAACACCGAGCCCTTGTGAATTCTCCAACAAGGCTGGGCCTGTCTAATAAGAGAACACATTACAAATCCAACTCAATTCTGCCTGATTTGCAGTAAATCCCGGAGCTCACATCACTTTCCCACTTCAGACCCTCACAGTCACAAAACCGATGAGTTTCAAACTGCAACGAGTTCAGAACAACTGGATTGTTTCCTATAGGTCTAATCCCAAATTTCTGTCACAACATTTCACAGGAGCAAACAGCAGATTTAGCTTTTGAGACTTACAGTGTAATTAAAATGAAACAGCCAGTGGTTAACAACAGTAGGACAGGGGGCGCTGACGCTACACAGTAATTTAGTGCAGAGCCATGCAGCTGTACACGTCCACAAATTTGTGACAAACCTAACAATTACACCTGGTTTAAAGCTAAACAGCTAAAGCACAAACAATATTTTCATCTAAAATAAGCTTTATTATTATTTTTCATCTCATTCATGAAATCTAATCTATTGTAATCTAGTGTCCAGATGATCACTATAGGATACAGTTTAGGGTGATATATACAAATAAGGATTTGGGGGAACCCTACTTTTAAATAAATCAAATTGCAGGGAAACAGAAAAATCCAAGTCTTTTTTTTTTTTTTTAACTATCTACAAAACAAAGACAGACATATGTTAATTGGTGAGCCAGAAGGGGACATATGTAATGAGTGGGAGTGGATGTTAATGCTGCGGTAATGAGTTTAAGCTGGACTACGCCCACGCGAGGGGTCAGTGAGTGCAGCCAGCCTCACTGACCAGCTGCCTGTGTGTTTGAGACACTTTCAAAAGTTGTAAAATGTCTGATGGGAATCTGCTGTTAGATTTTGTCTTCCTGCTCCGGGGTTTTACAACAGCCTTCTGTGAAATGAAAGAAAATATTACCGTACACATCTTCATATCACCGTCTGCATCCTGCCTCACCCTGTCTCTGGCCTTAACACACTTTCACCCACACAGATGACCGAGGCCTTGCAGCATCAGTACAGCTCCCCTCCGTCTCTTTGACTCCACACCTCCTCTTGCTTTAGCCCGTTTTATCCCCCTTTCTCCTCCCTCTCCTGCTCCATTAGTCTCTTTTCTCCCCTGCTCCACGATCCAACTTCACAATTGATTTTCCTCCTGTTCCCACTCCTCTCCCTCTTGTACCCCTCTGGTTCCCGGCCTCATGACTCAAGGATATTTTCCATAGTGCAATCAGACAGAAACATGGTTAAATATAGATCACAGGCCTTAAAGGTGTAGTACGTGTGAGGAAGCACATATCATCCAGACACACCTAAGGGAGAGTTTTTTTTTTTTACTGACTTATGACTTCTCTCTGCTTACATCATCAGTGCGTGGTGACTTACCTGCCTGTGAGCACGTTGCCTGGCTCAGGTTTTAGAGCTTTAAAGTCTTTAATCACACTTTTGTGTATTATTCAACCTTTTTAATCCATCCTTCCTTTTTCTCAAATCTAGCATCATCCTCCTGTTCTTTCACACAGCAATCATTAACGACTCAGCATTAGTTCTTTGTGTGTTCTTGAGGTGGACTGTGTGGGAAAAGGACCATGTGTTGTTCCTTGTGATTTCACTCAACACGAAATAACAACAAAAGTGGATGTGGAAGATTTGAGCAGTTTTAAAACGATCTATACTAGGTTAACATGGACCTGGTTAATCTGTCAAAACTGAGACAAAAAAAAACTCTTCTATTTGTAAGAAAATTCAGCAATTTGAAAAATGCAAATAATGCACAGCATGGGCCGAGCTGTGACTAGTAGAGCAAAAAAGAAAAAAATCTGTGCTAGCCTAAATGGGTGGAGGAGTGTGGTGCAAGTCACGCTGTATGGGGCTATTGCCGGGGGGCAAATTATTCCAGTTTCAATATATTCTTTATTTGTGCTACAGTGGGGGATTTGCACTTCATTTTTAATTTTCAAATGTTATTTTGTTTCAAGGGCAATAGCGGCTTTGTAGGAATATCAGTGTTTTAAATGATATTCAGCACAGGTTTCAAGTGGTAGCGGTAGCTCGTCATTATGGACCTTATTTGCATTTAAGAAATTTGTTGGACAATAACAGATTTAAACAATAAATGGCTTTGAAATAAATGATCTACGTCCTACCTGCATTTTGGAAACAAAAAGCCAAGTCCCGGCTCTTCTGGATAGGTTCTGGTCCTTCTGATGAAAAACCAAACATTTCTGGTACTGTTGCTATTTTGACATATGCATCCCTGCAGAGGAGCCCTGCCTATAAAAGACAAAAGGCACAATGTGTTTTTGTTATGGCATGTTTTTATATTGGAATGCCGCTCTTTGTTTACATTTCCATGCCAGGCTTTTTTAGGTTGACTACACCACATTACCCCATTCATAAAAGAGTGAACACATGTTGCATAATAGCCATGCTGTTGTGTACAGCCTTTTCTCGAAAAAGCAAAAGAAAACTAAACTAAGAGAACAGACTGTGAAGAAAAATATTGTCTTTGGAAACCAACTGTCTACCAACCAAAAATGGGAAGAATGGAATGTCTGGTCATTTTTAGCAATATGGTGAACTTACATAAAAGTTGCTTTTGAGTCAACCATATTACACAAGAAATTTCATTAATCCTCTGCACATCATCATCAGATGAACAACACAAAGTAACGATTAATCTAGTGTTTGTTTTTAACATTGTCAGATAAGCACGTAAGTTCTGATGAATCCTAAAACCTGTTTTTTTCCTCTCTATTCCCATCATCTTTTAATATTCATCATCTCAGGGATTAATCATTTCCTCAACTCTAACTGGAACTAACAGGGAAATGGATTGAAACTAAAAAACTTTCACACACCTTCATCTATAAAATGCCAACATAATTACACATTTCTAACTAGACTCACATCAGCTATGGCTCATGACAGGAATCAAATTCCCTTACCTTAAAGTAGAACTCAGCACAAAGTTCTGCAAATAAAGGTCCACAAGTATCAGCATAATGAACAAACATTTATCCATACAGCTGGAGATGCACTGCTGGTTGTAAATATAATTAAAAGTTTCAGACTAAACCCAAATTGTTAAAGCATGTTTCTGATCAAATCAATAGTACAAACCCAGTGCAACATTGACCAGGCTGCATTTAGTAACAAACTGGACATTAGTAAACACAGCAAAGGAGTCCTGTTGCCTTTACAGGATTACAGAGCCTAGCTATTTACATACTTACACAGAGACAAAAGAGCCTGGTTAGGATGTAAATCATGTTGCATTGCCCTAGTGAGATTATTCTGAGCAGGGTTAGATGCAAAAGATAGTAAATAAATTTTGAGAACCTGTTTAAAATGACATTACTAACTTCTAACATCACAGCAGTTATAACAGAGGGAAGAGAAAACCTTATAATATACTTTCAACAACAATGTGATACAAATAATTTGCATGTTATGAAGTCGTAAAATAATTCTGCTGCATAGACAAACTCATATCAATGCCAAAATGCATTTTCAGTGGTGAAGTTATAATTTGTTATTTGACTTGCATCATTGTTTTCATCCTGATACAATAATAAACTGCAAATATCCTAACACAATAATGTCAATAAATTAATTATATAAAGTTGTTTTCTCAGGTTTCCTATCATAGAAATCATAAAATAATAATAATTACACTCCCTCCCTCATATTTGTCATATCTGAAACCACAATCTCTGCTGATCTGAAGACATAGTTTACTTACTGGCTAGACAGACTGCTATAGCTAGCTTGCTGGGGTCTGGGTTCTCAGTAAATCACAGATTACATGGTTTATGACATTCTTTGCCCAATAAGGAGGCCCCCACATTTTCAGGGACTCTGTGGCCAGCTTTATATGTAGGTATGCACATAAAGAGCATGGGTGAGGGAGAGCAGAGCAGGGCATTAGCACGACCCAGAAGCTTATCCAACAGGAAGTAGCGAGCAATGGGCTTAGTGAGAAACAGTTTAAAAACAAACACAGCCAAATATCCTAAACCCTGCACTTAATCTGCATTCATAAGGGTTCGATTTGGTACAGGGGCCCCTGTATCAGCTACAGCTAAAGTGTCACTGAACAAGTCACTAATCCCATTCAGTGGAAGTTAAAACTGCTCTTTGTCCTCTATGGTAAATACTGGGCAAAGGTGATGTGATAATCTGGTATAGAACTGAAAAGTAGCCTGCTTTAATTGGGAGGCTTAAGCTACCCAGTTTGCTATGGGCCATAAAGCAAACCAAGTACTGGTATTCAGTAATATAAGGATAGGGCTGCAGGACAAATATGTTGGGATTTTTTTATCTCTCTGTTAGATGCAACACAACCACTAAAGGCCAATTCTGAAAATACTACTTTAGATTTTGTCCATAATTGAAACATGGGTGAATATTTCCAATCCCAGTTCAGTATCTTGGCTATTGACGATGTAAGTAAAATGTACATCCTACAGTTTAAATGCAGGAGTCTTCTAGCTGAGAGCGTGCTGAGAACCGAAGCCCTGGATTTAGACTGAAACGGCGTTACTGAAATTGACATAAGTGGATTAAAAGAAATATTATCTTTTCCTCACGAGTGATGATGACACTTCTCAGAGAAACAGGTTTTCCTCCAGCACTGGTTAACAGCTGTCAGAAATGTCAGAGATGAAATTATGGCACACTACTTCAAAATGACATTTTATTCATGAGGATGAACGTCTGTTCGACTGTCACGGAAAAGCCTGCACACGTTCCTGACTGATCTTAGTTCTATTTTCATCCAGGGGTGTTCCTTAGATGTCTGAGCGTCAATTGGCTGCACAAAACATGGGGAAGGAAAAAAATCAAAAAATGCTGCCTAGTTAAATTTCTCGAAAACACAATATTCACAACACAGCACGCTTTTCTTATTTTATATAAAAAAAATTATAATTTGAAAATAAATATGTTTAACTGTTTTACATAGACACAGAAAACATGTTAATAGTGAAGAAGAGACAAAGGGAACTAAATATGGGCTCTAGGACCGATGGCGGGTTGTTATGCTGTTTCTGCTGTCGTAGTGACTACTGAACTAAAACCTCGCAGTAGTTTATTTCTATTTTCATCTTGCAGGATGGACAAAAGACCAGTCCGTTACATAAATACTTAAATACAACTTACTATCCCTACATACACACGTGCACACTGACAGATACACACACTCATACCTGCACACACACAAACATAAACACGGTAATGTTAAAACTCAACACAGCATCCACACGTTAAATCTACAGGGTTTGAAAATCAAGAGCTGTCACTGGTACGATACCACGTGTGATTCATCCAGGGAATGTCAACAAATCATTTTTGATTTTTTTTTTTCACCAAAAAAAAAAAAAAAAAAAAGGCTCCATTTTGAGAGGACCCATCAGTGACCTTACAGACAGGGGGAGATAAAAACAGCCACAGGTACATAACACTGCATATATAAATAGTCCAAATTAAATATGGGTAGAAGACTGAATACTGAAAAATACTCTATAACATTATAAATTATCTATAATGTACTATGGCATAAAGAGATACTGAGTATGTACAAGTTCAGAGAAAGAGATACGTAATCAATAGATCATGTATTGAGTTCAACAGCTAATATAACTACTTTGACAACCCCCTCTCCTAAAAAAGGAAACCAAAATAATTTAAAAAGCATTCTAAGGATTTTCTCAGTACATTTTGAGAGGCACAGTTTTTTTCTCAAATGGAATCTACAGTATATGATGTTTTCAGTGGTTTTCAGGAACATAGCAAAACATAAAATGCTCTTTTTGATAATTATTATCCCTTTAAAAGTGTATGGCACTCCAGAGTCTGTCCTGCTGCAAGCGACTGCGGCTGAGAAAGAAAAAATAAAATAAAATTGTATTTGCACCTATCAGTCCTGCAGGGTCCGCAGAGGAAAGGAAGTGATATCACAAAGACACAGATTCAATATTTCCATCAGCTGTCCAAGTGTCCTCCTGTCCTAGTATAGAAGCAAAGGTAGTCATTTGCTGACAAACAAATCTGGCCACCCTTCCTGAAAACAGGGCACGACTGTGTCCTCGCCAGCCCCGCCCACTGTTTGAGCAGGTCTAAATATTATACATTTAGAGGTTTTGCAACTTTGATTTACACACAACCACAGTAGACTCATTTCCAGTGAAATAAATGCATACATTGAATTGACGACAAGACTACACCTGCACTGCAAGCCTGTTAGAAATGCAAAACCACATGAAGGATCTTTTGAGTTTTGTCAAATGACGGGTTTAGTTATTCGTTTCCGTAGCAGCATAACAACTCAACGTGGTCTATGTACACAAGGATATACAATGGGAGGAAAAGGTCTATTCTTTCTTTTTGTTCTCTCTCAGTCAGTCTAAGGGGAATGCTGTCCACAGAAAAGAAGAGCATATGGTTCAAAGGTCAAAGTGCTGTGCTATATTCCTTCATCTTGAATGGCCTGGTGATCCCACCTCTCTCATCTTCTTGGCTGGTCACATCTAAAGCAAGAGGAAAAGTCAAGGTTTTAAGTTGTTTGGTTGCATACACAGACATAATACATACAGTTTGAATATCACATCACGTCTGTGGTAAGTGGGATAACTCACTGTAATCTACCAATGTGTAAAACCAGTGACACGGCGGCAGTTTGCGAGTCCGTTTAGCTAAAGACTGATAACAGAGATAAAGGCTGAGGCCCAGTCCCATTTCTTATGTCTATCCTTGCCTCTTGACACAGGGCTATCAGGTGCAGCACTAGAAAGTCTGCCCCTTCAAAATGGGACACCCTTTAAGGCTGTAAGACTTCAATCAGTATGCTTGAATCGGTTCAGACCTTAAAAAGCAGTTAGCTGTGGTGGTTGTGTAATTTGTTCAGTGGAGTTATTCTGTGAAGCACAGACGTCACTGTCTTCAACATCAGAAAGTACTTTAGAGCCACTTGATGTTTTGTACAATCAACTCCAACTAAGTTTGGCTGTAGTTAGCGTAGCTACACGATATGTTGGATAACTTCTGCTTTTAATGCATAACACTCAGTTTGGTTTTGAATGCTTTTTCCCCCAGCTACTTGCATTTCTTTGGCTGAATAAGAGTTTACTGCAAGCACTTTTAGAGTTCAAAATTATCACATTTATTAGATTAAAAATAATTGAAACTCCACAGACGCCATCATTTAATTTTATTGTGGTACTTTTGATGTCTAATGCACCAGCAGACAGATGTGTGAAGGAGCAGACGAGCTGTGAGGCATTTGAAAATTCCCTCCACCCCAGACTAAAGCCCCTGTTCTAGCTGCAGAGACGCAGCAGGATCCTGCCACCGCCACGCTTCACAGTGGTTACGGTGGTTGTGTTTTTGTTCAAAATCTACCTTTTAGAATTATGAGGCTCAAAAGGCAATAACACACTTTCCCCACATACTTCAAAAACATGTGAAATAACTTTACTAACTTTACCTAAGTTTTACAACCCCCTTCCCACAGAACAGACATAAGAAGAGTGGGAAGTTGCTGCCCTGCCAGCTCCCTGCAGCTCCTAAGATGTTGTTTCATTGATTTTGTAAAAACACATATTTTTCACCACAACAAGAGAAAAACGGAGGTATTTGAATGCTTTTCTAAACATGAGTTTTGCTGGACGATGCCTTTCTGGAACAACAGCTGAAATGTATTCAGGTTTAGTCAATTACACTTAGCCACATGTACAGTTAAGCAAACAGTTGAGCCTACAATTTTCTAAATGTTATGGATTTTTAATCCACTAAAAGTCAACTATGTTTATGCAAAAATCTGTATTTTAACTTTTTTTCCCCCTTTATAATACATGCAAAATTTGAACCAAGATATATTTCAAAGAGAAGTGTTGCAAAATAAGAACATATAAAAAATACAAATTATTAACTGTAGTAGCAATTTAGTTGTCCACATGTGTTAACCATGCCGTGCCACTTACTTGCAGGTCCTCTCGTTGAGCTCTAGCTGGCGTTCTTTACAGTATTCAGCTGTGTGTTTGCAGGAGCACCGGCAGGTTGCGGGGTCCTGGATGAACAAACGCTTTCTCCTGACTGAGCAGTGATCGCAACAAGGCTCACAAACACTAGACACACAAAGACACAGATGGAGAGGAAGAGGGAAGAAGATGGTTGATTATCACTGTATATCAGAACCTCCACAGTGCTGGTTCAAGCTGCTGCCTGACAAGTGCATGGTACAGTTTGGTAGTATTGCACCCAGGCTGCCACAGAGCAAGCAAATATCCAAGCACTACATTTCTCTGATGGAAGCCCTCCAACCCCTCCCTTGTTGATTTGAGCGCTCGCAAATCCCTTCAATCTGTTAGACATGCAGTGAGGCAAAGCTCTGGACCTTTTCTTGCAACACACAATGGCATTCTGACAATTACTCTGACTGTTGCAAATATTAAAATCCAGAAAAAGAAGACTCGAGGGTCTGCTTGGTTCTCCGTTAGGAAAGAAAACATTTTATTAAGTGAAGCTGAAGAGTGCATTTCGCACAGAAAGACAGGAGACACAGAGAGACAAACATAAGAAATAACAAATGAAGGCTCAGATTCTCTATTGACATCTCCGTGGACAAATTACAATAGATTTCACAAGCATGACGTGTTTGGTCACAGTGCATGAGCTAACAAGGAAACACCGGTCAGCATGTGTTACTTCTGCATCAAATTAAATCACGTGTGCATTTGTACAGGCTCACAGAGAAAAGCAAGCAGATGAAGATACAACAACTGTGCTCGCTCAACCATTTGATGCCCCGTACTGAAAAATACATACAAAGAAGAAGAAGCAAGGGGGAAAAAAAGGAATAGGAAAAACAAGACCTTAGATGGCCATCACTTATCTTCGCATTACATAAAAAGTACCAGCATTAGGCATGGAGGAGAAAAAATGTTTGTAAAGATGAAAAGAGTGAAGGGTTGAAAGGAGACTGGTGCGAGACACAGCAAAGCGACACAGACTCAACACTGAACACAAGACCATGATTGCAATCCTGGTGATGCCAGGACTGATACCGCTACAGTATGGGTTGTCCTGCGAAGCCATGCTGGTGGAGCAGCGGCGTGTTTCAGTTGAAGCTTCAAGTTTCAGCCCACACTACATCGCCAATCTGTTTACTCCACCTTCTCTAAACATGTCTGATGTCAATCATGGCACTTGGTATTTGACATGATGTTGGGGGCGGCGGGGGTCAGGGGAGTTTTTGTGATGATACGCCACTGTGTCTCATCCAAAACTATTGCTCCAGACTCATCTATGGACTGACATTCTTTAGAACAATGTCACTGTGAGGCTGGAAGGAGATTAGATGGAGGAATTGCGGTGTGGAAATGGGTTATAGTTCATTTTTTGTGAGATATGATGAGCAAGCTTCCTGGCTTGACTGTCGTGTTAAAAGTTTTGCTCAAGCTCTCTCAACTAAACATGTTAGATAAAGGACAATGTAGACAACTGCAGCTCCTGGGCTAGAGGACAGGACGTACAAGACGAAATGAGGACAATGCATGGAAGCAACATGCTAAACGATGCGACTGAGGTGGGCAAAATAAATGATGCAAATTAAAAGGGAAAAAGGAGCTCTTCCCAAATTAGCTTAATTATGAGAAGCGCAACACTCAGATGCAGGTATGTGGAGAAGGCAGAGCTGACGTACGCATCGTGAATTGTTTTGTCGCGGTTTTTCTTTCGTTTTCTCTTTAGTCCTCTACCCTTGCCCTTCCGGTGTTTTCTGCAAGAGAAAGAGGACAACAGCGCAGATTGATGCCTGAGAGACTAAGAACAGAGATGGACTCAGGTGTTAGATGATGGTGTTTTAAAAGAGACCTCACAGTGTTGACTGCTAGAAAACCAACATGGGTTATAGTAGGTATTAGAAATACCTGTTGTGAGGTCTATAAAAATGCAGCAGCCAAAAAACATGAGAAAAGCAACAGGTGATGTTAACATCCCAAGAACATTAGTGAACAGCATCAAATGTTCTGTAATCGTTTCAATGAACGATTAGACAAACAAGAAACCTATAAAATGTTTTAGATTCTTGCTTGGCAGTGTACAATTTAATGCTGTTTAGTGTAGATGTCATTTCAAAACAACACAAGGTCTCAGGGGGAGTGTGAAAATGTTTGGCTTGAGTTTCCTCCATGGACAGTTCACATGAACTTCACCAAACCCTCATCTTTCAACATTTCTGGGTCAATGTTTTATGGCTGATTCGAAGCGTTTTCAGACCACGGCACAATGAGAGGCAACCAGGGAACAGAAGAATACAGCCGACTTCCGAGGTGTGGCCTGGATTAAAATATCTCTCCGACTGTTTCGAGTGCAGCCTGAGTTTGCACTGCGAGCAGCTTTCTGTATGTACAGTGTTAAACTGTAATGAGAACATTAGTCACGGTCAAACGGAGGGTCATTCACTGTGCCAACCTTTAACTGCAGGACGGCTGCAGAATGTGAGAACAAATAACATTAAAGAGTTAAATATTTGGTAATCTGCTGAACAAACACTTTTTGTTTATCAGTCAGACTGGGCTGAGGTTTAATAATGAATTGGTTTCTGTTGTGTTACTAGCAGCTGCACACGTTTCTCCTTTTTTTCCAGAGTCAAAAATCGAAAAATCTGTGGACGTAAACCGCAGTTTCACAACTGCAGCAGTTGCAGATGATTCAGCTTCATGATTCTCAGATGTCAGCGGTCAAGGTTAAAACTAACATGAAAGTATGAAGGCGTCAGAAAGAGGAGTTGAACAACCCTGAGAACATCACACTTTGCAGCAGCACGCCTCCAGCGCCGGTCTCGTAAAAAGTAAATAAGGTTAAAGAGGAGAGTCTCTTCAACTGAATCCTTATCTATATGGCAGACAGCTGACATAAAAATCGAAATAACAACCATTGGTCGCCCTGCAACGGAAATATATAAACGACGTCGTCACTCGTGGCGGATCAGAGAGTTTTATGGCTTGAGGCACATCAACTTCTGTCACTTAAGACAGGTCCATAAACAAAAATGTTAAACAGAACCTCAAAAACATTCTTATCTATATCAGAGAAGAAGAAACAGGAGTCACAGACATTATGTGAGATGAAGGCAGTTCAAATGTGATAGGAGGAATGTAAGGATGAGATAGAAAAGAGACGAAGGTGAACAGGACAGGATTAGAGAGGGCGATGACCCCATCAAGTGTCACTTATTCACTTGAACAGCTTTCGCAGTATTCCCTTGTCTTTATCACCTGGGAGCACTGTGCTGATCTCAGCATAACCCGATCTCACTGCTGCGGCTTTCTGCTAAGGCCTTAATTGAAGTGTGCGCACAAGAAAAGGAAAACGGCTGGAAATTAGGTGGGAAAACAAAAAAGCACAAGGGCTGACGTTGATTTGCAGACGGCTGAGAGTTTGTTTGCAGAAACAAACCGAAAAAGGATCGCATTCCAAATCCCTATTGTTACTGCCCCACCAGAAAAACCCAATGCGGAAAGAGCTTTGTACTCACTTTTCTTTCTGTTCTTTCACTTCATTCTTTAACCTGAAACGCAGGAACAAAACAAAAATGATATTAGATCACAGCCTGCTATTGTTTCCTGGTAAACGGATACAGATCGCGCTCATCAGAGACCAGACGGCTCATTATCATCGTGGCTGAGCTCACATCAATCTTCTCACATCGTATTACATCACTTTTCTTTAGCAGAACCTGATTTTTTTTAAAAAGGCTTTCACTTTCAAGTGCCTGGCCTAATAAATGAAGCAGGTTCGTGTGGAAATGATACAGTGAACATGCGCACACACACACACACACACACACATAACCAGGCACAGAAAAGGGTGTGTTCATTTTCAGACATACACACACTTGTACACAGAACAACAATGGCAGGCTGTTAGCTTTGTGTCATTATTTGACAGTTCGACAATTACTGAGTGTGAAGCAATGAAATTCTCACAAAAACCACAGGTCAAAGGTCAACAAAATATGATCAGAGACAGTGTTTACAATGTGAAGGTCGGTGAAAAAAAGGCTTGCAAGATTTGGGAAATTAGCTTAAGTTTAGACTCAGTTTAGCTTTCCTGTGTTGAGTAAATAATAGCATATTGTAATAACAATTGCAATAACCAATTATGACCAGGTCTGAACCAGAAAACAGTCTTCTTCCATATATGTTGTTACTTTCCCACATATGATAAAAAAGTCCATTGGTAAAAGCTGCAGATTCAAAATTGTTTCTTCACCGAATGAAAAAAAAAAAATATATATATATATATAAAAATGTGGATTTCACTGTTCAAGAATCTTCAACTGCATTAATTTCTTCTTTAATAAATATTCAAATATTCTTTAACAAAGTATTAAAAATATAATTAAAATTAATATTAAGACTAAATATTAATTGTCCACCTGTAGGAATGTATAAAAGTTGTGTTTTTCCAGCAGATACTGAAACTCCAGTGGGCCAAAGCAGTTGCTTTTACTGTTAGTTATTCCTACGCTGCATTAACTTTTCTGTGAAAAGTGAAAATGCCACCATGGTTTAACTAAACGCATTGAGCTACATGATATCAAGCGAGTCCAAAAGTCCAACCCTGGGGCCACTTGTTGGGATTTTTTTTGTTTCGTTTATTCAGCCATAATGAACTCTAGTCTTTTTTCCAATGGTTTATTAAATTACAATTGTTCTGTTTTTTTATTAACTTAAGAAAGAGTAAAAGGGATCACTTTCTTGTTTAATTTTAATTATTATGCATATATAAGTCCCAAAATGTATTTTGGGAAATGTGGCCGAGGATTTATGTCCTGGCTCCGATCCTCAATAACACCATGCAATAAAACAGATATGTATTGATGTGGCAAACTGCAACACATTTTATGACGATGCTGTTGGCTCAGCTGTGCTTTAACCTGGCCCCTGTTTTACAACACTGGGTTTATGCCAATGTACACAGTGCTGGTTTGCAAAATGTCCTTTTGTTTTTATGGTCTGAATTTAACTATCTCACAGTGACACCATTCATTTACCTAACTGGCAAATACTGTAGATCGATCGCAGATACCGTATTTTAGAAACGTGCTCTAAAAGTTAGTGGTTAAAACCAAATGGCTTTATATATAAAAATTAAAAAAAAATATGACAATGTCCTGACAAATAGAAGTTTGTCATAAAGTTCAGAGGGACATGTCTTCAAGGCCCGGGCAGCAGATAGTGGAACTGTCCCATCTCAGTCCAGAGAGGAGAACAGCACAGAAATTACACATTTTTAACCGTTGGCCTACAGTCCTGTGTATGACGCTTGTTTGCTCACAGGTCGCCCTCAGACGTGGGGGATGGATGATGAATGTCCCCACTGTCCCTCTGTGTCACAGTTCACTCATGTCATATTGTCCAGCAACAAAACAAAACTGGATAAATTGCAATGAAAACACTTGGTCTCCCAAAATAGGGGCTTCAGACTTGAGGGCTGAGTGATAAGTAATGAACCCATCACCACCAAGCAACGGGTTTGATAGCACGCGCCCCCTACTGTAATAGTGTGGTACTGAGACAACAGGAAAAAAAATAAAACATAAACTTTGCCTTGACGCTTCATCACAGTCTGTTACAGAGTGATGTAGAAGAGTTTTCACATTTGATTTCCATCAAAAGGACGACTAAACACTGAGGTCACCTGACTAGACGTGTCTTTAGGACGAAGCAACATGAAGGAAATCTCCTGTAAAGCTCATAAACTCTTTAACGTTTGATTATGAGTGAAGCTTGAAAAAGCAAATACCATTGTTTATTATGAATACTATTGTACTTTCTTGATTAAATCTGTTCAGATATAAGGTCAAAGCAAAACCCAATGAGGTGTTTGTTCTCTCAGTGTTTTATTAGTCTACAGTAATGTGGTTTGTGTAACGGTGTGTGCAAGAGTGTGTGTTCAGGGGTCTCTTACCTACACTCACAAGCGCTGTGCTCTGTAAAGCTCATGAACACATCGTTTTGTTGCCTTTGGGGTTTTATTCTTTTAATCTGTCGAAAGATAATGAAAAACAGAAACAGTCAGAGAGGGGAATAAAAAAAAGAACAAATTCATTTCTAAAGAGCTGCTGTGTTCTGAGTCACAACAAGAGCAAAGACAGAAATAGACCGGAGGAGATTTGAATGGATTTGTGGATCGATATAAAAACAAACCTAAAAGGTCAGTGTGTGGTTTGTAAACACGGCGTGAATAATGGTGTCCACCCTATTGTGACTAAACCACACAGTGAACCAGTTTTAAAAAGCAGGCCTGAGACTTGAAAGCCTTAAATAAAAATCCCAAAAATGTTGAACAGGATTGCAACAGCAACTTCCAGGGTGGTTTTCATCAAATGTTTTATTTTTCTTTTGGCAGTCATTTTAATAGGTTTAGTATTAAGCTTTCTCTAAGTCGACATGTGAACAAATTACCCATGTTCTGGTTAAATCCTGGGAAATTTTGTAGTTTTCTTTTTAAGCATTTATGTGATACTGGGAAATTTTTGCTGTTTTCGAACTTTTGTTAATTTTCCACATAGTGAATTATTACTTTCTGTAGCACTTCACTAATCGCAGCCTAGCTATTTGTGTTGTCTGCATAAGACAAACCCCTTAAAAATATTGGTGATTAATAGCTAACAACACGGCTGTTTCCATCTTCTAATGAAGTACAGCATGATATGTTTTGCTCACGTTTTGTATGATCTAAAAATACATGAACATAGAAGCCTATGAAGAGTTGTTTTGTTTTTGTCCTGTCTTCTTACAAACCCTGGACCAGAGACACTGTCAGTGGAGTTAAGATTCAAATCTCTAAAAAGTGACAATAGCTTCATT